CTCTCCCACTCCCCCTGCTTGTGTTCCCTCTCTCGCTGTGTCTCTCTCTGTCAAATAAATAAAATCTTTAAAAAAAAAAAAAGAAAGCTTGTTATTTAGTCTCTGCCTCTTCTCTCCTACCTTGACCGTATATATCTCCTGGTTATACTCTTTGGTTGGTACTTCTTTCCAATTGCTTCTTCTGTTTTCATATTTTTTTTTTACACATTTCCTTTCTTCTTTCAATCTTCTTGAAATCTTGCCCCTTCTATGATTCTGTGTAATTACAGAGAAGTGGAAATTTTTATTCCGAACTTCATATTGATTTATTCCATCCTTAATGAAATTGTCCCCAGCATTTCCCAAAGTGCTGGAATACTTAATTTGATGTTATTTTTACTCTATATTAATAGTGTCTTCCTTGTGTTTCATCCATATTTGCAAGTTGTTTATTTGGTGCAAGAGATATACATACATGATTGGAGGATAAATAATTATGTAGAACAATCAAAATTACTAAGTATTTCCTCAAATTATATATTGATTAGCATGTTATATATTTATATAAATATGTGAATATTGTACATTATCTGTCCATTTGTTGGTACTAACCCATTCAAAATTGAATGATCCTTTTTCCTTCCTTTGGATTATTAACTTGAGGTGTTTATTTTGGTTCTACGTGAATGTACTAAAAGATTTATACACATGTCAGAAGAACATAAAATAGGGGTGCCCACCTGGCTCAGTCGGTAGAGCATGGGACTGTTGATCTCAGGATTGTGAGTTCAAGCCCTACATTGGGTGTAGAGATTACTTAAAAATAAAATCTTAAAAAAAAAAAAAAAAGAAAAGAAGTATATAAAATAATAACAATAACACCTAGTGTTTATTGAACACTTGTAATTGACCAGATATTATACAGAGTGCTTTATATGCTTTAAGTCATTGAATCCTGAGAGCAACTTTTTAAAGTGGCTACTGCTGTTGTCCCCATTTAAGGAGGAGGAAAGTGGTTTAGAGAGATTCAGTAGCTTGCCTGAGTTCTCACAGCTGGCAGGGTTGGGGGGAGGGAGGGACAATTCCCACCCAAGCCTGTCTAGACCCCAAAGCCCACTTTCTTTGCCATTTAACCACAATCTGTGTTGTTTCTTTGCATATATAAACCCAGTATAATTTAGAGTAAGAAAAGCAGTATGCTGGATGGTCTCTACTTAGAGTTTCTGCTTAAATATCACTATAGTCTTTTTTTTTTTTTTTTTTAAGATTTTATTCATTTGACAGAGAGACAGTGAGAGAGGGAACACAAGCAGGGGGAGTGGGAGAGAGAGAAGCGGGCTTCCCGCGGATCAGGGAGCCCGATGTGGGGCTCAATCCCAGGACCCTGGGATCATGACCTGAGCCGAAGGCAGACGCATAATGACTGAGCCACCCAGGCGCCCCTCACTATAGTCTTATAACTTAACCTAGTGTTTCCTAGACTTAGACTTTGTGACCTAGTTCATGGGTTAATATAGGGTTGTCAGCTTTCATTTTACTAGGCAAAGATATTTTTTAAAACAACTGCTTTATATTACTGTAACTGATTTCACAGAAAAAGGTGGAAGGACATAAAGTTCAGTCCTTTATTTTTTTATTTTTTAAAGATCTTATTTATTTATTTGAGAGGGAGAAGGGCAGAGGGAGAAGGACAAGCAGAGACTCCTTCTGAGTGTGAAGCCACACACAGGGCTCCATCCCAGGACCCTGACCATGACCTGAGCTGAAGTCAGACACTTAACCACCTGAGCCACCAGGCACCGCAAGTTCAGTCCTTTAAATTAAAATTTCAAGTGCTGAAAATGTTGTTTGTTTGTTTTTTTAAGATTTTATTTATTTTGAGAGAGCATGAGCAGGGGGAGGCAGAGGAAGGGGGACAAGCAGACTGCCCGCTGAGCAGAGAGCCCAACTTAATTAAGGGCTCAATCCCAGGACCCTGGGATCATGACCTGAGCCAAAGGCAGATGCTCAACCATCTGAGGCACCCCAGTGCCAAAAGTGTTTTTATTTATTTATATTTATTTATTTATTTA